TTCCTTGGAAAAGTGCCCCTTTTTCCCACAAATAAAGCATCTCCGGTTTTTCCCCTTTCCTCTGAAAGATTTTCTTTTAAAGAACTTCATGGTCTTCTTTTTCTTTCCTTTAAAGTTCCTATGAGATTTGGAGTATTTTTGATGATGATGTTTGTTTTTTGTTTCACAACTACACTTTTTGTCTTTACACTTAATCTCCAGATAAGGTTTTTTGCAGGCCTTGGTGAACTTTGACTTTTGCTGTATAACTTCTTGAAATTGATGATGAAAGCTACAAAGCTTTTCAAGTGCTTCCAACGTCGCCTGATGAATCTGGCCAAGACTCATTGTTGCAATATCCTTTTTAGCTGTTGCTACCATCCTATGGATTTCTTGCTGGAGTTCATGTGGTAGAGATGATACATAAGTATTCTTGAGACTAGGATCGTTGTACCCATTGAGGAGATAAAACCTTTGTGCCATCTTGTGATAGTGTTTGTCGAGGTCTTTTGTTTTTAGGGAACAACACTTCATCTCAAAGAATTCCTGCCTATTTTTTCTATCGAACATATCCATATCTCCGATAAACTCCTGGTGGAGTACACCAAGGATATTGGCTGTGCTTTCTAAACGGTGTAACTCATCTTGTTTGAAAGCCCCAAGATTGTGATACCATTCCTTCATCGTGCCTGTCATTCTACAGCAAAATTCTTCAATGACCTTATAGCTATCTGCATTTGTTTTCATCATTTGGGTATCAAGCCATGCTCCGAATTCAAGTAGTCTCTTTCTCCAACGACTAGGCGGTATATCATCAAATGTGAACCAAGGACCACCATTTGGTTTAGTCCTTTCAGGGACTAGAGTTTCTTCAGGAGATTCTTCAAAAAATGAATCTTCCTCTTTTATATTTTCCATGAAGAGTCTTGGGATGTAGTTTACTTCAGATTGTGATTCTGATGAAAAGGATCTTGGTGTTTCATCACTAGACGTTTCTTGACAGGAGTCTTTTTCATCATCCGAGGAGGACTCGTCTTCTTTTTGTGCCGATGATTCAGCAAGAGAGTAACTTTTCTGGGGAAATTCACAATTTCCAGTGATTGCCATGGCTTGGAAACCTTTATCAGGAATTTCTTCTTCTTTTTGGAATTTTGGAGGAGGTGTTTCAGGAAAATCCTGAGATTCTGAGGATGAAGCGCTTAAACAGGCAGCCTTTCCTTTTTTCTTGGAGGTTGAGGTAACGGTAGTTCTGGTAGATTTTGGTCTGTAAGCTGTAGGTATGTATTTGACCTGATCTGGTGGTGAAGTAACATAGGTAGGGAAGAAGGGAGAAGGTCTTTCTGGTCGTTTGAAATATGTAGGGAAAGTAGGAGGGTCAAGGAAAAGGTTTTCAACAGGCTTGGGCTTTCTTTCGTGTGAAGCTCTTAAGAAATCATCTATTTCTTTTACTTGGCCTTGTAGGTTTCTGATTTCTCTTTCCTTTTGGTCAAAATTTTTGCCAAAAGTTCTCTCTTCTAACATCTGTCGCAAATCACGATCCAGCTGAGACACCTGGGCCTTTAAGCTTCTGTAATGCTTCTGCATTTTCTGTGATAGAACCTTGAGATAATCATCTGTCTCGTCTATTCTCTCAGCAATCTTGTCCACTTTTTTGTCGAGATTTTGGAGGATATCATTTTGAGAAATCATGTTTTCTGATTGCCAGTTTAGAACTTCTTCAGCCTGAGTTAAAGGTTTGAGTTTTCCATCGGGTTGTACTTCATTAGGATGAATGAAGGGTTTGGATGTTCTACCAGTGATTGGGTCCATCTTCCTTTCTAGAGCGGGAAATTGTTGGCTATATTCTGGTGCGGTAGTTGAGTACATAAAGCAAGGGATTAACTCCACATTTTTTGGAGGGTCCAAAACTTTGCAGTGGTCTGACGGTGACCACGTAACCAGAGTAGGATCATTTGGTGGCAACAGTTTTTCTTTCCTGAGGATCTTGAGAGCTTCCTCATAAATAGGAAGAGGTTTCTTTTTATCATGGATACCTACCCATGGACCGTTATCGGGATCATATCTTCTTTGTGGAGGGGGAGATGGTTTGCACGCCCCGTTGTTTTTCCTTTGTGGAAGGATAATATCTCTGTCATAATCATTATCATGCATCCAACATTCACATCCTGGATCACATTTATTGGGATCTACGTCCCAAATAAAATGACCATTTATCTTGTCAGTGTAGATAGGTTCTCCTTTACTAGTTACAACATGAATTGGGCACCAATCTTCTTTGAGAATCGGTCGGATCATCATGGTCTGGAAAATAGGAGGAATTGAACTCGGTCCTTCATCTGGTTTTTTGAAAATTGTTTTGACCGTTTTGTCAACAGATCTTCTAAAGGTGGCCTCTTGAGATTGTATTTGTCTTCTATCTTGATGGATTTTTTCATAGTTTGTTATCCACTCAAGAGGAATTAACTGAGTTAGTTCTTCCCTCGTGATCTTTCTTGGAATCTGAACAATAGAGGGTATATCTTCTTCTCTATTAGTAACTACTAACAGAGAATCAGAAGAACATCCCGTGAGAGGCAAATCTATCGAATGATTTTGTAGACGATAGATTATTTGGTGATGGAGAGTAGCAGACATGGCCTCTGGAACTTGGTCAGATCCAGTGATTTGGACTTGGACCTTTAGTCTTGTAGATAGGGTGTTGTCGTTGAGGCTTACATTATAATTTGGAAAAACAGTAAGAACAACGCTTCCCGCATGAAGTGAGGTCAGAACAGTCCCTATGACAGCATTTTCATAATGGAGATAGCTCGAATCCAGGAGAGCTATTTTGCAGAAGACAGACTGATTTTTCCTTCCATGGAGAGAGAGGATGAGTCTAACTGCTCCAAAATGTAAAGCTGTGTATCCTTCAGATTTCCAGTGATTTATGAGACTCTGAGGAATCTCTAAATCCACATACTGCTCTTGGTTTGTTGCTCTCAAACTACATTGGTCTAGTCGAGATGACTGGATGTATTCTTTCATATGAGGGCGATTGGTAGAGATTAGGTTTCTGATGGATCTGGTAATTGTTCTTTGTTTTTTGAAGATATTATAAGGGCTTAAAAGGGGAGGTACTGTTTCGGAAATTTGAGCATCTTCTGGAACATAAGAATACTCAACAAGGTTTTCTATTTTATGGGTATCGGTCTTTTTACAGAGTTTAGGAAGTGATAGGGAAGAGGTGGTGGTAATAGGATGAGTGTTTTGTTGTGATAGTGACATGGTTAAATATTTTTCCCCCTTACTTACTATATTTATTATATTCATGCCATATGCACCCCTTCTTTCAATATAAAAATAAATATTTAGATTTTTATTAACTTTTAATATAGATTAAATTAGTTGAATTTTAATCACTAATTCATAAAACAAAATATAAATATGTTTAAAATATTATTTATATTGATTTTATAACTCTAAATAATTTATTAAAATACATAAAATTATATTCTAACTAGAACATTTCAAAAAGAAAAAGTGGACAAAAATACATAAAAAACGAAATTAGAGATTTACATTAAAATTTAACAGAAAAATTGAGTTTTATTTTTAAAATATTTTATTTAACTCATTTTTCTCGCCCTCTCAAATTAAACTATCACACTTACACGTCTATATATTTATTTTTGGGAATATAAGTATAATTGAAATTTAAGACCACATATCAGAGAATAAAATTGCAAACGTGAAACTTACATCCGATAGACAAGGTTAATATTATATTTTAAGGAATAATTCGACAATTTTTAAAGTTAAAATTAAAAAATTAATATGAAGAAACTTTAATATTCACACTTCTTCCACCTTTCATGAAAAACTCTTAAAAAGTAATTCTGCTTGAGTCATGTTTTTTTAATATAAAAGCATATTAATTGAGAAAAAGCAAAGGTTACAGGTAATCTGAAATCAAGCAAAAAGTGAAAGAAATTGGGAAAAATTAAATAGGATTCTAGATAATTGAAAAAATGCTTTTAAATTTTTGAAATTAATTTTAAAATTAATATTAGTAAATTTATTTATTATTTAAACTATATCCTATACTAAGATAAATATTATTTTGCTAAAATATTGAATATGTGGACTTATTAAATGTTCTTTCAAAATAAAAATAAATATTTGAATTTTTATTAGGTTTCAATATAGAGTAAATTAGATGAATTCAGTCACTAATTCAAAAAATAAAATATAAATATGTTTAAAATATTTTTTATATTGATTTTATAACTCTAAATGATTTGTTAAAACACTTAAAGTTATATTCTAACTAAAACCTACACCAATTCAAGCCAAATATAGTAGAGAGAACCATTAGCAAACAAACAAAGGGTGTTGTAGAGACCCTAAAATTTGTACAAATTTTATTTATTTATTAATTTGGTTTTTATTTATAAAAAGACTAAAAATAATTGGTTACGTAAATTAAATTGGATTCTAGATAATTGAAAAAAATACTTATAAATTTGTGAAATTAATTTTAAAATTAATTTTAGTAAATTTATTTATTATTTAAATTGTAGCATATACTAAGATAAATATTATTTTGCTAAAATATTGAATATGTGGACCTATTAAATGTTCTTTCAAAATAAAAACAAATATTCGAATTTTTATTAAGTTTTAATATTGAGTAAATTAATTGAGTTCAGTCACTAATTCACAAAACAATATATACATGTGTTTAAAATATTATTTATATTGATTTTATAACTCTAAATGATTTATTAAAATATATGAAATTATATTCTAACTAGAACATTTTAAGAAGAAAAAGTGGACATAAAATACATATAAAAAGAAATTAGATTTATATTAAAACTTAACAGCAAAATTGAATTTTGTACGCAATATATTTTATGAATCTCATTTTTCACGTTCTCTTAAATTTAATTCACGCGCTTACACGCCTATATGTTTAATTTTGAGAATATAAATTGAGTTCTTTCTCACACCATTCTCACACAAAAATAAAAGAAAAATTTATGGTAAATTGTATGTCTTTACTAGAATTTATAAACTTTTTAAATCATATGAATCTTCATTCATATTTTAATTAATTACAACTGTAGAAAATTTAGATGTGCTTGTTCATGTATATTTTCTTTAATATTCAATTAATTATATATGTTTAGCTAACATGTATAAATGTGCACGGTGTAGACATGGATCATTCAAACAACGAACATTTTTCAGAAGTAACAAAAATGACGTTGTCAAAAATCAAACATAATCGAGGATTGTCCCATAATGTAGCCATGTGTACCTACCATGACAATACTTCACCTGGATATGAATGGTTACTTCCTGCATGGGTGACAGAAGAGCGTCATATGAATTCTGGCAGAATATATAAGGTAATAAATTAAATACTTTTAATTTATTTTATTGTGTTTCCTTCAATTCAATAGATTGAGGATCAATTGTGTCTCCTTATTTGTTATAATCTTAATTTTATAAATATCAAAATATTCTTATATGTAGATCAAAATTGATATATTAATAATTATTGTGCAGTATTACTATGACCCAGAAGGAAATCGTTATAACAGCAAAAGTGAAGTAAAAGCAGCATGGGAGAAAGATGGGTTGGTGCTCATCGACTAATTAAAAGTAAATGTCATGATATGTAATATAGACAAAGTTATTTTATATCTAAATCCTTGTTAAATAGGTAATGAAAAAGAGATATTCATAAACGAGTCTTATATTTTTGTCCATTATACTTCACAAGTTAATTCTATGACTAATTAGGAAAATATGTGACTTTATTTCTCAAATCAAATTTCTTATGGTATGTTTTTTTCAAGAATTAAAATTATAATCTTTGAAATATTATCTTTCACGATATATATATATATATATATATATATATATATATATATATATATATATATATATATATATATATATATATATATATATATATATATATATATATATATATATATATATATATATATATATATATATATATATATATATATATATATATATATATATATATATATATATATATATATATATATATATATATATATATATATATATATGAAATTTATTTTCGACTACTTATTTAACAAGTAATCTAGCTTATAATAAATATTTATAAAATTTATTTAATTTTATTTTTGAGAATATAAGAATAGTTGATATTTAAGACTATATGTCTTAAAATAAATTTACGATCTATAAAACGGACGCTACCTAGACAAGGTTAATAAATAATCATTCGATAATTTTTTAAAATTAAAATTAGGAAATTGGTATGAAAAAACTTTAATATTCAAGCTTTTCTCACTTTCCATGAAAAACTATATAATTCTTTTCAAGTCATGTTTTTTGTAAAGTAAAAATATTTTAATTTAGAAAAAAAAAAGGGTTAAAAGTAATTTGAACTCAAACAAAAGTGCAAGAAAGTGAAAAAAAACTGAGCTTAAAAAACCGAAGAAAAAAAAACAAATCACCCTCATTTAAAACCTGCCTACACCAACACATGTCAAAGATAGCAGACAGAACCACTACCCAACCCACCAAAGGGTGTTGTAGAGACCCTAAACTTTGTACTTTTTTCTTTTTTGATTAATCTTGTTTTTATTTATAAAAAATACTAAAACTAATTAGTTACATAAATTAAATAGGATTCAAGATAATTGAAAAAATACTTTTAAATTTCTGAAATTAATTTTAAAATTTAATAATAGTAAATTTATTTATTATTTAAATTATATCTTATATTGAGATAAATATTATTTTGCTAAAATATTTAATATGTGGACCTATTAAAATGTTCTTTCAAAATAGAAATTTGAATTTTTATTAAGTTTCAATATAGAGTAAATTAGTTGAATTCAGGCACTAATTCAAATCACAAAATAGAAATATATTTAAAATATTATTTATATTGAATTTATAACTCTAAATAATTTATTAAAATATATAAAACTATATTCTAACTAGAACATTTCAAGACGATAAAATGGATAAAAAATATATATAAAAAGGAATTAGAAATTTATATTAAAATTTAATAGCAAAATTGAATTTTGCACGCAAAGTATTTCGTATATTTTCATTTTTCTTGCTTTTCCAAATTAAACTCACACACTTAGACACCCATATATTTTTATTTTTATTTTTTGAAAATATAAATTAAACTATTCCCCCACTCCATTCTCACACTTCAAAAAAAAAAATATAATTAAAGGAAGAACTTGTGGTAAATTGTATATTTTTCCTATAATTTATAAACATTTTAAATCATCTGAATCTTCATTCATATTTTAACTAACTACAACTCTAGAAAACTTAGATGTGCTTGTTCATGCTTTTTTTTTTTAATATTCAATTAATTATATATGTTTGGTTAACATGTATAAATGTGCATGGTATAGACATGGATTATTTAAACAACTAATGTTTTTAGAAACAACATAAATGACATCATCAAAAATTAAACATATTCGAGGATTGTTCCATAATGTTGTCGGGTGTACTTACCATGACAAGACTTAATCTAAATATGAATGATTACTTTCAGTATGGGTGACAAAAAAGTGTCGTATGAATTCTGACAAAATATATAAGGTAACAAATTACATATTTTTAATTTATCTTTTATATATATATATATATATATATATATATATATATATATATATATATATATATTGTTGTTCAATATTTCTATGATCCAGGAGGAAACTGTTATAATAACAAGAGTGAGGTAAAAGCAGCATGGGAGAAAGATGTTAGCGCAATAATCAGGGGAGGATCGAGCGATGAGCATTTTTATTTTCGAGATTTTTCGTTTGAGCAACACATCTTTGTGAGAGACATATTATTTGTCCACCTAAAACCTTAAGGTGATAGATGAGTGAGTTCTCCCACTTATAAATGCTCAAGTCGCCACATTTCTATTCAATATGGAACTATTTTTCCAACACTCACACTTGCTATATTCTCAACACTTTCCCTCAAGTGTGAGTCCATAATGCACCCCCTCAAGTGGAAGCTCTCTCTTCCACATACACTTGTACCGCTGTTGGACACTCTTCAACGGGACACTCTACTTACATGCGGGACACTTACCCACGAATATCATATGGAGATACTTTCGATACAAGTAAGTCGGTCTCCTTCTCGAACCAAAGGCTCATGATACCATTTGTTAGCGTAACAATCGGGGGAGGGTCGGGCGAGAAGCATTCTTATTTTCGGGACTTTCCGTTTGAGAAAAGATTGATTGTGTTGGGACAATGCCTAAAAGAAAGGTCGATGATATTGAGATCCTTTAAAACCCGGTTACTATTAACTAGGAAAGGTTTGAGCCAACTAAACTTCAAGAGGGTACTTACCTACAAACTCCATGCAAGCCTAAGCCTAAGGATTTGTTTTTGCCTTGTGTGTATATGCTTACTTGTATATAACTTCATGAACATCATAACATCATATGCAATCTCACTAACCATTTCAAGGATTTAAGAATTTATCTCTGTCTTTGTTTTGTAGGCCATGAACTCCGTCTAAAGAAACACCATCCGAATCAGCTTCGTGAAAGCACATCCTCAACTCCAAGAGTTAGCATCAAGGGTGCCCGGAGATTCTCCTTTTACCAAGAAATATAGACGACTCCTCAGTTTAGCTACCTTCAATTTCCAAGAAGAAATTATGTGTGTGCTCTTCAAATTATTTGATCCCATACATCATTGCTTCACCTTTCCTGACTATCAGTTGGTACCTACACTAGAATAGTTCTCTCTAATATTAGGAGTGTCCGTGCTTGATCAGATACCGTTTATCGGTGTAGAAGGGATCCTGAAACCTGAGGTCATGGCCGAAGCTCTAATCTGAAGAGAGCCGGCATCATAGCAAATTAGGAGACCAGAAGGGAGTCAAAGGGTTCCTAGCCAAATTTCTATTAGAGAAAGCTTGTTCATTCTGGGAAGATATGGATTTTCAAGCCTTTGAAGATGTCCTGGCCCTTCTCATTAATGGTTTGGTTCTTTTCCCCAACTCGGACCAATTTATAGATGTAAATGCCATCAGAGTCTTTCTCTCCCGTAATCCTATACCTACCTTGTTGGGAGACATCTTACATTGCATCCATACCTGCACCATGAAGAAAAGAGGCACCCTTTTGTGTTATATTCCCCTACTCGCCAAGTGGTTCATTTAGCACCTACCTCGATCAACATTGAAGAACGAGCAAAGATTGACATGGTCTCAAAGGATGATGTCCCTCACCCACTCTGATATTCATTGGTGTTCAAGATCCTCGGATGATACTTCTATCATTGACCATTGTGGGGAATTCCCTAACGTCCCTCAACTTGGCATTAGGGGAGGTATCACTTACAACCCTTGCTTAGCTTTACGACAGTTTGGGTATGCCCGAAGAGATGGTCCTCACGAGATACTCATTCAAGGTTTGGTGTTCGACTAAGAAAGCGACAAGCAAGGCTACCGTCAGAGGTTCATGCAAGCTTGGAAGATGGTAAACAAGGTGGATAGCAAGAAGCTGGGGCACAAGAATTCCATCCCTCTTGAGCCTTATCTTAAATGGGTACGAGCCCGTGCTCAAAGTCTTATGATGCCTTACCCCTCCGTTCTCCCGGTTATCATAGAGCCTGTTGTGGAAGGAGATGTCTCACACACTATCCTTCATCCTGACATGCCCACCTCTCTCGAAGGCTTGCAAAGGGATTAGATACAACTTAAGGGGGAGCGAGACACTTTCAAGGCCCAATTTTACACCAGCGAGAAGAAGTTTCTGGAACTCACCAAGTAGCTTCATGAAGAGCGGAGTCTGAACGCCTATATCGCACCAAAGATGATGCGTTCAACTTTTTTATCTTAGAGTTTTTGTATTTATTTGTAAGCCCAAAGAGGCATGATGTACTCAGACTTTGATTTATTAATATGATGTGTGTTCCTTTTTTGTCTAAAGCAAATTCAAATCTCTAAATTCCTTGAAATCATTGCATATGCATCTCCATTCATCATAACACAAACATGTTTCTTACCACAGGTCTCCTTATCTTTCTACTGTTTATTTCAGTAAGATGGATCTTGAGCATACAGTAAAACATCTTCAGGCGCAAAACGCTCAAATTCAATAAATGTTCTTGACTTTGGAAAAAGGACAAGAGGATTTGAAAACTTTGCTGATCAAAGAAAAGAAGAAGAAGGCGAAGAAATCAACCGGTGTTTTGAATCTGGGAAGAAGGCTCCCAGGGCCAGCCAGATGGACCTTAGACTTCGCATCATCATCAGGTGAAAAGTATAATCAAGAAGGGAAAACAGGGAAGTGACTGACCATCCAGAATCTGAAGAAGAAGAAGAGGATGATTACTCTGAAGAGCAGTATCCTCTGGATGACAACAAATACAAACAGTTGGAAGATCGCTTAAGTGCTATGGAGATTCAGAAAGTGCTCGAGCTTGACTTTGAAGAGTTTGGTTTGGTGTCTGGGATTGTTATTCCACCAAAATTCAAGGCACCAGAGTTTTCTAAGTACGACGGGGTTTTGTGTCCCAAGATGCACCTCCGATCTTATGTGAGGAAGATACAGCCTCACACTACTGACAGAGATTTGTGGGTCCACT